TCGACGAGTCAGTGGCCAGCGCGCCCCGTGTCCACGCAACATCGAGGGAAAGTAGAACATGGGAGGCCGCCGCTGCTTGGCTCCAGGAAGGCCACCGCTGGCGCGTCGCCGGCTTGCACAGACGGTGACTTGCCTGGTTCTTTAGCGTAGACCATTGTCGACCCCTGCTTGGGCTCCACGGATGCAGAGGCGCGCCACTTCCCCTCCGGCCAAAGCATCAGCCGACGGTTTCACTCCGATGAGTGGTGGGGAAGTGAGCCGCCCTTTTCGTTGAATCACATACCTTCAGGGCTCCCGGTAGTCCGGTGAGTGGGCTACCGACCGGGCATGGGGAAGACAAAGGGATCCGCCACGGCCGGCCGTAGACTAGTGTAGTGTATCCGTGTTGTGGGAGTGGAGCTCCGCGCGACCGTGCGTGCACATAGTTTTACCTTTTTAGTTAAAATATGTCCAGAATGTAAGTGTTTTCGTCCGGTTTGTACGAAATCCGTCATGTTTATATAAAATCCGGTGATGTTTGCATGAATTTCATCCGGTTTATTGAAAAGTGTTTGGAATGCATGCGTCTACGGTGGCGGCCTCTCGCATTAAGCCAGTACGTAGGCTGGACCCTTCACTACTCTCTAGCTATGTTCCCTTCAAAGCAAGTCCCCGTGAGATTAGTTCAGAAGGCATAATATGTTTTCTTTGCTCTCATGGGAATCCAACAGTTTGGTGTGAGTTTCAGACAATCAGGTATCAGGTAAGTACTTTGGACTCAGGTGAATGCATGGTGTGGCGTCAAAAGCAAGGCAGGGGGGCGACGGGAAAGAGCGCTGCTTTGTCTCTTTGGACGAGTGAGTCCAATGATTGACGTACGCGGCACTGAAATCTTGAATGCTTGGAATTTACCATCCATCCATCCATTCCACACACACACACGCACAGGCGTGAGTCAGATGAGATCTCGACGCCATTGCCATGCAGGCAGGACAAGGGGGGCGAAGAAAGCGAGACAATTCCGACTGCCTCGGCGGTCGCGCAAGGTTGGTGCTGGTAGTGGTAGGAGTAGCTCGCAATAACTCCAAGCCGCGGGCAGGGCCGAGGAGGAGGACCAGGAGCTAGCAGCGACCACAATGCTCCACGTTCAGGCAGAGGTCCCCGGCTCTGTTACCATGGATTGGCAGATAGAGATAGAGCTACGCGCTAGCTCGGCATTCAAGATTCATCGGATTGCTCCAGCCCAGCCAGCGTACGTACGTGGGCGAAGAATTTCTTTCTCCTCCCCACTGGATTTGCTCGCCGGTCGGTCGAGCGAGCCCCCACCCCACGCCGGACGGTCGGAGCTTGGGGATAGATCGGGAGAGGGCGGTGGCCGGCCAGCGCCGGAGCTAGCTCGCGTGGGGGCCTTGCCCGGCCGGCCGGCCCCTCTGGTGCAGTGCTGTTCGAGTGGCTTCACCAGGACCTCAGGTAGATTGTCCGGGTGATGCATGCGTAATTCAGCTGCCGCGGCTGGTGAGGGGCGCAGTGAAGACGGGGGTGTGGATCCCGCCAGACCGCTGAGCCATCGAGAGAGGGCGCCGTGGTGGACTGGACGGTGGCCGGACCACGCGCCGGAGGCGACCAAGCTAGCCGGTCCTAGTCGTATCAATTCATTTCGCGGATTTTGCTACCAGTATTTCTTTACTGCGCATAGTGTGTCATGCATCGCCAAAATGCCAGCCAGCCACTCGCACATCTCTAGACCTGTACTACTTTCTGGTATAGATATAGAATTAGCGTTCAAAGTCATCTGACGTAGAGGCAACGGTTTCTAGCTAGTCAACAGATGCTACACGTTTTCGCAATAAATAAATAAATCTAGATATGATAATACTCCCTCCGTTTATTTTTTATAAAACGTTTCGGACAGCTAAGATTGAACTGTTTTACGCACTGTCTCGAATGTTTTACAACATCTTATAAAAGTGAATTAAGGGAGTAGCTTTTTTTGGCGAACAAAACAAAGACAGTATATTGAGTAACACATACCTTTACAAATACACTTTTACAGTTTTTTTATGTATTGAAGTCTTATTCCTCCTGCATCCTTGTTGCCGCCTCTGGACCTCCGTCTCAACAGAGCAACCTTGTTGAAGCACATGAATTTGTAAAGAGTAAAATGCATCATAAGTCCTAAAACTATTCGAGGTGTGTCACTTTAGTCATATAACTTCGAGATTGCAGTTTATGTCATAAAACTATTGGAGGTGTGTCGGTTAGTCCTATAACTTCAAAACTGCAGTTTTATGTCCTAAAACTTATGGAGGTGTGTCGGTTTAGTCCTATAACTTCAAAACTGCAGTTTTAGGTCTTAAAACTATTAAAGGTGTGTCAGTTTAGTCATATAAATTTGAAACCGCAGGCCATCAATGGCATAATGGTTTGAGCTCCAGCGAGGAGAGTAGACTGGTCATCTCAGCCTCACCCTGTAGTAATAGAATGATACGCAGCACAACGTCCAATTGCTACCCACATGTGGCTGCTATTGGGGTTGCATCACTCTCATCGACCTGTGCGCCAGCTTTGCGGTTTTCGCACACTCCTTCGCATCGTCGACATCAGCGATAATTCCCCCACCGGTGGCCATGCTCATGCCCAAACATGAGACAGAGTCATGAGAAGAGAGAGACAGAGAGGTGGGATGGCGTCCTCCATCCCGATTGGCTTGGGGTCTCCTCGGCGGCCGCATCAAACCTCGACGAGGCTACACTGCAGCTCATGGCCACACAGGTGATGGGCGTGCAGGTTGCAACACTGCAACGTGGAAGCGTATGGACCACTTTTGGGGAAGTAAACACATATGAAGGAACTCATTTGAAAAAATGCACCATAGATGCTAGCCATGCAACATTAGGACTTGAGATGGACAGACTTACATAGTTTTGGGACCGAAAACTGCAGTTTCTAAGTTATAGGACTAAACTGATACATCTCCAATACTTTCAGGATCCAAAACTGCAATTTCAAAGTTATAGGACTGAACTGACACACCACCAATAGTTTTAGGATTTATGATGCATTTTACTCATTTGTAAAAGCAACTGTAAAAAATTCGTCAATGTAAATCAGAAGACGGCGATGGTCGCGGTTTGCT